TGACGTAAGGGGTAAAAGAATCTTGAGGTCATGGGGCTTCCCCTGACCCGGATTCTATCTCTCCGTCACCGGCGGAATCGCTGATTAATGCCTACAGTTCAAAATAGTCATTTTGACTGACCGGAGTCTATGGTGGGTAATTGAACGTAGTGAATTTATGATATTCGTGTTGTGTAATTTTGCTTTAGAGACATTAGAAGTGCCGATCTGTGTAGAATTACACATACCCATGTCGCCATACAAGGATATGGACTGTATGTTATGCGATAGTCGTCGCAGATTTTTGATTACAATCAGTGATTACCCCACTATGTATGAATGCTAGTTTTGATCTTGTCGTAGTGTGCAGTAAAGGCCGATTTTTAATCCATTAAAGTGATGAATTCTAGAAATTACCGAGTTTAATCTTGCAGTCTGTCTTTTTTTTTACCCGTTGATCTGCGAAAAAACAAAGTTGCCTACTTTGTTATATGGGAGCTGTATCTCGCATACGCGGCGTGACGACCACCGTTTTTTATCAGTCCCGTTCGGACACAACCGCCTGGTGGCAATTTTGTTTCGATGAATGCTGTTCCAGAGCCATATCGCTGACATGACTTAACAAATTTATGCTGAAAGTTATGTATTCGTCATACATCATGTCGTACCTATGCACCTCTAATTGTTCCATGATCATACTCAAGATAGCCGAATGGCGGCCATTTTAATTTCTGTCATTCCAAAACCAGACCTCGGTTGTATATTCACGGATTTGTCCAACTTGATTCACACATCAGACATTATGGAACCTCGGTGAACGTCATTTTGTTTTAACAAATTCTTCTCCAGAGCCATATCACTGACATGTTTTGGCCGACTTATATACATCATACATCGTGTTACATATATACGAATTTATCCATTGGACAATTCACTTCAAGATGGCTGAATGGCGGCCATTTTAATGTTTACAATTTGTCGAAATCAAGCATTTCCGCAATTTCGGGACCGGGTCTCAGTTGTGTATGGACGGATTTTGTTCAAACTTTGTACAAACATTATACAATATAGAATTTGGATGCAAGTCATTTGTTTTGAAGATAGAATTCAAAATAGCTGTCTGGTTGCCACGTTGTTTTCAAAAAAATGGTTCCAGGCTATATCTTCAACATGGCCGATCGGTGGCTATTTTTAAACTTTATATATTTCAGAAAAGGCCGAAAACAAACCATGTCATATCTCATCCCTGTATTTCGTCTTACATCCATGAAGAACACATGTAATGTTGTATAAATCTCATCGATATGACTGCGATCGGAATTCCTTGATTTATTAACTCATAGTATCACATCGCAGTTACTTAGGCACGTCATATCACACACCCAGGTCATATAGTTTACCACATTGACAACACAATATGGTGCAAATAACCTTGTAATACGGACAGGCCGTAATAATTGTTGGGATGAGATGTACTACGTCATACCACTCACCTCATCGGCAACATAGGCGACAAAATCTATTCTTCCACTTTCAAACCTGTTTGTTGTCTTCTTCCCCAGCGACACTTCGGTTACTACATCCTAAAATAATGTGAATTATGAATTTGTGTTATAATGTTTAGTGCTTGCTCTACTCTACTCAACTAGATTGCCATGTCAATATCATGGAATATGACACAGCACCACCCAACGTTTATTATCCATTATCTCACGTTGCACTCTTTTGCCTCACGTGTTTGTTCTGTTGTTACACGGTGAAACCATGGTTCGAGGAAATTGTACGTACATCAGAAGGTATTTATGGTAATCACCAGTATATTTAGAATACGTATAGAATATTTACTGCCTATGCTAAAATGTAATAAACCCCAAGACCTGGACATTTCAGTCGTTATTTTGGTTTGAATATGTAGATATTGTTTTTGTATCATACCCATAATTGGTTCAAATCACGTGAAATCTATGCTCATAATTTCCCAAAATGACTCCTTAAAGCGATAATTAAGGAATATATATATATGCGTACCGTGCCCCAGGTGTCTAAAAAATCCATGTACACAGCTGTGTCATAAGATTCTGGCAAACTACATGCAGCGGATACGAATGGGTCGGATAATGGATACATGCCAGATTCCACATTCTCTAACATATAGCGTGCGGTACCATGGTTACATTCGTCTTTTTCGTCATAATAGACAAACCCATCGCCGTTAGTCTTATTTTCGTAATACTGATATCCTGTAAATAGAAGCCTGTACTGGAATACGATTTGCGTGACAGGAAATATAATCGGAGATGGAGGCAATATAGTGAAAGACCCAAACACAATTATACCACAGTGTGCAAAATTAACAGACGCAATTACTAGTATTTCACATTTTACAAAGTATTTGTGTTTTTGAACTGTTCAAATATGGGTATTATAAAATTATCACAATAACGTTTTATGACATTAATATTTGTCGTGATTGTTTGATGCCCCGACATTTTGACAGCCAATACAATACGTCTGTTTGGTGTCACATGTAAATGTTTCCAAGAAAGATGCTTCATATAACACTATGATACAGACTTCCCGTTTGGAAATTGTTCATGTTTTTCTTGTTTTTATGTCGAAAAAATAAGTAATCCTACAATCTCAAAAAAGGAAAGTCTTTACAGTAGCGGCATATATGGCTATTGGAATTCATTGTTTTTCGCTTTATCTGCCTGTTTGGTGGAGTTCATTCTGCTACAATTTTCAATAAAAAAGTTACACATTGAAAAGCGTCAGCAAATTAGAAGTGTACTGTGGCACTGTGCTTCCAATGTAAGTTTAATGTGATGAATCTTAAATATCTATACCGTATATAAACTTCTGTCTAAACATAAAATTGCCTGCATTTCCGTTACACAAGTTTCAGCAAGTGAGAGCGTCTTGTAAATCAAATTGTGCGCTGTTGTTTTCTCATTGAAACGTGCTTATTCCAATAACGCGTAACATTACATCATAAATGAAAAAAAAATGTATTTTGATGATTCTATCGCGTTTCAGCAGTGTATGCTCGGATGGTTTGTAAATAGAATAAATTTGGATGGAACTTTTTGCAGAAGAAGTTACCAATGCTAGACACACTGCCTAACGCAGTACTTGTCTACCCTGTGCGTAAGAAATACTTACCATTACTTAGCGTAAATTCACGTCCTTCCAGGTGATTTACGTCGATGTCTGGAATAAAGAAAATATAAAATGTAATTATGAATAATATAATTTACTGACACATACAAGTGAGAATTTTTCCATACTATACAGTAATGAGGAGGGTAACGTGATGTCACATGATCAATGTTATTTGCTATACTCTAATTTCAAGCTCAAAACTCAATATACACCTAATAAGAACCGCAATTGGAGATTATCCTCCCCTTTATAACAATGACAACCTTCCTAAAGAAGACATAGACAATAGTTACAACTATGACTATCGCTGGTGACCAATATTGATTGAGAGAGCAAAATGAGAAATGTTTTTTTTTCATTCATGGGTAGACTTCTACCTTTACATGTAACACAAACACATGTTTGCTCGATGGTGCATGTTCTTTACAATTATCTTGAATGATAATAGTAACTGCGCATGCGCCTTGAATAAATAGTACGTACCAGCGCATGTGCATTTGAATAGTTCGTTACGTCATAAAATATAACTTTAATATGCACAAATAAAACAATCAGAAATCTACATTTGTACTTCAAAGTCACGTGCCTCACCTTGCCTGGAGTGGTCTGTTAGACGAAAATTGTAATAACTCAAGCCTGCCCAGAATTGTTCGATTGTGCTCACTGTAGTACAAGTATCTGCAAAGTTGAACTCTTGCTGGTCTGGTACATTGTAACCATTCCATGTTTTACCATCGTTGAATGTAGCAGCGAGAACGACGTTTACGAGATTCAATCCCGGGTCTACTCCACCATTAACGCTGTAGTCACCTTCGGGATTTCCGTACAAGCCATTGTACGTCACGCCAATATATTTGGTCGCTCCCGGGGGAGATTCTTGAGAAAGGCCCCGGGATACGAGGCATATTGATAGAATTAATATAAACCACATTTTAGGCTGTTACCTGCAAAATACAGAGGAGCGCGACTGCTGGGATTTCTCTCCCAAAAGACACCTGACAACTCAGATGGGAGACAAGATAACATTGAGCTGGTGATTTATATGTTATTTTCTTTCCATAATGCAGGTTATCCGATCGATGTTATCGTAATTGTGTACACCACGCGAGAACATCAGCTTGCATGCATTTAATGCTGTTCCATTTCAATGTTCATTGACACATATTTATGTATTATGTAATAACGTGCATTGCTACACACAATTGTTTTCTCAGGCAAAATATTCATAGTTTGTCACTGGTTGTATTGTTTAGGGGCTTCAACCAGGCAAGTGGCTACCGTGACAGTTATTAAAACATGCGGTGTTGGCGAACTATAATTTATAATATTGTTTCATAATTTATGCTAAATAAAAAAATGAATTAATTATAAACTAAATTCTGTATCCTATCACCTTTCATTCGTCCTATAACGCAAAGACATTTTCTAATTCGCGCATGTGTGTGTGTGTTAGGTTTGGTACGTATTATAGTAATCACGTGTGTGTACATGCGTATTAGTATTTCCAATCGAACGATACAATTATGTATGCTACCACCAAGGCAGCATTATTAGCTTATGATAAATCACATCAATTTTGCCATCAAACATCAACATCAACAATATCTTTAAATTGCGTCATTAACGTGACATGTTATAGCCGTTACTCCTGTGAAGTGGTAACATGTATTCACCTCTCTTCGCGTCTGCTTTCAAGGAAAGCATCATCCTGACGTTTTGATGTGTGTGGCTAGATGATAATTTTCCTGTACACTTCTCGTTTAACTAAGCAGCACATGAATTCAGCCACCACCCCACCCCATCATGATTCACCCTCAACGTCGTTCAGATTATATGCTATCCTTGTCTTTTCTCCGTTATTAAACTTTAATTTATTCTGATTGTAACCTAACTAAAAGAACAAATAGAACTACTTATACTGGCAGTTGGATTGACCTCGCTTGCGGTTCAATAGTTTGCGTCCCAGGGAGCCCGCTAGCGATGGCGTAATAACAATCGTCGGCCATGTCAAGCGGGTGTCAGGCAAGTGAAGAATGCGTTATACGTAACAAAAAGGTGGTATTGAGTGAGGCTATTTAATCGCGATTTACAAATGATTCATTATTATACTGTATATATCTTTATTATTTACTAACTTCAATCAAACCAACACTACATACACTTCGCAAAAAAAATATTCGCGTGCATACGATTAATAATAAAAGCAGTAATGTAACTGGTGATCCTCGTCTCCTCCCGTCTCCAAGGGATGAAATCCACTTGTATGCGAGCCACCGCCGTCAAACATGTCTTCGTTGTCCCAGTAAAACCATTGATGGCTCACTTGCATGCCGTACACGTTTGGGCAGTTATCAGTCCGCTTTATCAGGGCGAAGGGTCGATCGGTCGGTAAGTAGATCACATGGTCGACTGAGGGCGCATCCTCGCGACAGCAATAGTACACAATGGTATCTTCGTTGTAAAAGCCGTCTGGTAGAGATCCAGTGTGGTTGTTCCTGTTAGCCAGGTCCTCATCATCCCAATATACGTATCCAGAAGTAAAACCTGAAAGGTGTAAACAAGAAATACGAAATACAATTTCACACAAAAAGGTTGTAAAGTAGTTTGTAATTTCCTTACTCGTGAGGTGAACATGGTTAAGACAGTAGAGGAAAGACTCTCAAAATAACTGAAATAAAACTGTGCACAGTATGGGAAATCTTCGCAAATGTGTAAAAGAATGTTCAGCGATTGGTTTGGCGTTTTTTTGTGTGTTCGGTGCGTGACGTAGCTCAGTGTTGGTGAATACATAATTACCCGGTGGTCAAAGAAAAGTCGAACCGTTCGTCGTTCCTTCCCAATCACTTAACTCATCCACCTGCCACTACCCTGGTATCTAAGAACTTAACTCAACTTTTCAAATTCGGATTTTCTCATGAATAACTGAAGAAATCAATTATTTTATAATATGAGGAAAAAATCTCATTGCCCGCTTTAGTCAAGTGAAAACCAACTTGTTTGAAAAAAACTGTGCTGTCATTGATAAACGTAGACTGCTCAGATATTTTGTATTACCTCTGGGGCATACGTATTTCCTGTATATACAGTATTCCCCTTTCATCCAACTCCAATCGTCGTTGGTGGCGACATCTACCATTTTCATGCAAAAGTTCCAATACACGTTGCTGGACGTATACGGTCCTTTCAGACTGAATGGATTAGACCACATGTTGCCAGTGGAAATGTCGTTATTGTCCTGGTAACGTATTCCAGTAGAGTCAAACACGAAGTCGGGAGAAATTGCACAGCCGTCGCTGAATTCAAGATTTATTTCCGGAAGACCGTACCTTCCTTTCGGCCACGTCACTGGGGTAACTACCAAAGGACCTTAAATAAATGAACAAAAATGTCAGAATAAAATGTTATGTGATTGGGATTCAGGAGTTCTATTGTAACCGTCGAATTCCATTCTCGTCGATGTTGCATCTGTAATTTACGTATCAAACCGCCACTTACTCGAAGGGGTATCGGCTAGTTTGAATTCGGGGTACATTTGTAGAGCTTTTAGTACGTTGACCTGTCTGGCTGTAAGGTCGGCAAGTTCGAAATCACACAGTCCGCGTGAAATATAATATTCATGCATACTCCAGAACCTCTTATTTAACACTTCGTCTATGCTTAGGACTTCTATGCGTATAGGTTCGGATAGATCACTGTCGCCTGTTTGAAGCGTTCCCACTATAGCGCCCTCTGTCGTTGTGCTGGTTTCCGAATACGACACCATGTCCACTCGTACTGAGTCTTGATATCCTTGATAGAATCCATTGTAATGGGCGGTACTTGGATACTACGAAAATTAACATGCATTATATACATATGGTAAAAATTATAATTTCTTGTCATACAAAATGTCTGAGCTTATTCAAATACGTACAAAGTTGTATGTCTGCTACACAGGTTTGCGACAAACAAATACGTTACAACCAATCATATAACCAGATATAATCATAATGCCAACTTTGTATTTTATATACCGACACGCCACAGTAAAGTTAATTTCAATTACAAAGCCACAAGTACAATAGTAGAAACCTGTCATAACAAATAAAACCATTTGCCGGACCCACTTAACACTTTATCCCGAATATCACGGCAGTTCAGTGTAATAAAGCAGAGTAATATATGTATGTAATTTCCATACTATATAATACAAATGTCGGAACTATGATTGGTCCATGCGAGCAGATTGAACTTTTGACATCATGAGCAGTATCTCAGTATGTTGGTGGTTTGACATTATATCTCTAGAAGAAATCATATGTACTATAATTTGAATATTTCTAGTAGTTTCATATATCAACTAAGACGAGTGTGTAATACAAGCCCGGCGCATATCTCTGAGACGTCATTTCAAATTACTAGCTTCGGGAATGTCATAGTTAAAAACGACGACCTAGACCGCCATTTGGAAGTGGTCTTTCTTAATTGTCCATCTCCGGAAGTGATCAAGCATTTATGAGGCCGTGCATCCGGGATAGAAGCCTGAAACTAAAACGATGATTTAGATAAAGTACACTGTACCTCATCTGCTACATAAGCAACGAAGTCCGCTCGACTACTCTCATACCGTTTCGTAGTTTTGATCCCCAGAGACACCCTAGTTACAACATCCTGCGACATAAATTACAATAAACGGTATATTAGTAAAGTGTATGGCAATATTGTGTTATATACAGTCATCGAAACGTATCATTCCCTTAATCAACATATGGTTTCAAGGAGCTATGAATCCAGCGATAATTGTGTAGGAAACACGTTTTTCCCTCACTTACCGTTCCCCAAGTGTCCAGAAAGTCCATGTACGCTATCTCGCTATAGGTTTCTGGTAGAGCGCAGACGGCTGACACAAACTCGTCCGTTAGTGGGTAAAAAAGATCCTCTGCATTCTCTGTCATGTATCGGGCAGTTCCATGGTCACAGACTACCTTCTCGTCATAGTATACGAAGCCATTGTCGTTGCATTGAGACTTATAATAACTGTACCCTAAACAAGATAACACATAATGAATAAACCAATTCGCAGGAAAGTCATTGGATTTCTGTTCATGCGTCCGTTAGGGGAGTCTATCGACGAACGAATTGACCATTATCTGGTCAAGTCAAATACAAGTCAAGGTTGGGCTGATAAAGGTTAAGGTGTGTTATAAAAAAAAAGAATAAAGTTTAAAATGTCTATTTGCATTTAACACTCAACGAAGCATTGAACAGACTTTTAAATTCTCATCTGAAGGCATATTTAGTTCAAATTCGAAATTTTGCAAAATCTCACATATTTTTTTTTCTCAGTTTGCCTGCTTTTTAATAATGCTAAATGTATTCTTTTATTGAACTGAATGTCCTTTCTCAATTCTATGAAAAGATGTACACAACATACATTATTTTTTTTCTGCAAGCTGTGTGCAACTGAATCGCCCAACCAATCGATATTGTTTAATGAACTGTTACCATTTATGTCTGGTTTCTAACATAAGGGAAGCAATGTCAGAATGGTGTTGGACTATGTAGGTTTGCTGATCACGTATTTTTATGATGCTTTTCTCGCTGTTCTTGCATTTAAAGTAGTGGTGAAAAATGCGTGTTTCTGTTTTCCATATGATGGCATAATACTGTGATTACACAACGAAATTCGTCAAAATCAAAATTCGACAAATCTAGTTAACGGTCGTCAAGGCGAGCGCCATTTTTTTAAATCCATGAATGACAAATATGCAAATGAAAGCACCGTAAAGATTGATTGTGCTTTAGATGTCACTCTTCCATCAGAGAACACAGTCTTCGATATACACATATTTTCACAAGTAGCATGATAATAAATTAAACCTACCATAACTTAAAGTAAACTCATGGTTTTCTAAATTGTTCTTGTCTTTATCTGCAAAATATTAGAGAACTACAATTATAAGCATGCTATTATACTTTCGATTATCTAATAAATAACAACTGTAACAACAAACATTTAACTATCGATTATGTATTTAATTATTTATTTTACGTACTGGTCAAGTTTAGCACAAATGTGATTCTGCACTTCATCACTTAAGTTACCCAGGTGATGAAGATAAAAGCAGACAAGAAGATGACAATAACGACGAGAAAAGAAACAACAACTTACCTGCCCTAGAGTGGTCTGTTAATCGATTTTCGTGATAGCTTTCACTTCCCCAAAAGTGTTCAATACTATTCACATCCGTGCAGGTATCTGTGAAATTATAATTCACTTGGTCTGCCATAATATAACCATTCCATGTTTTCCGTTCATTGTATGTTAACAAAAACACTTGTTGCGTCAGTTTTAAACCTGGATCTATTCCCCCGTTGTTGAGAGGATCACCCTCCGTGTTTCCAGCAAGACCATTGTATGATACCCCTAGGTAGGTGGCGGCACCAGGGGGTGGAATGAAATCTTGGCCGACAGCCACTGAAATAAGTAAAAACATACAGGCGATCAATAACATATTTAGCTTCTGTGATGTCTTCAAGTAATACGACAAGTTTCAATACAACGGTACTGAAGTTCACCCAATCAGTAGATGTAGTATCTCCAAGAGAATCGAACATATGTTTCGATAACTACAAATACAGAAGATTAGATTGCCCACTCCTTGAAGACAACTTCACATCTTCCACCAACAACATTCAAAAGCAGATTCTTTGAAATTCACATCGATCATTTCGATCAAGTAGGAATTCTCAAACGTTCATGGGATATCACTTACTGTCACGGACTTCTTATTCTCATTCTATCCATGATTTTTGCTTTCAAATATGCAGATTATTCAATGATAACATTACACGTAGAGAATACAATTGATTCAAGGACAGGACTAGTTCTCATTCTATGGAGGTTCAGCTAAATATTTATTTATGCTGAACATCCCATTAGTCACAAGTGAGGTGAAAAGAAAATGACGTTTGGAGCCAGATTATGAACACGCATCAAAATCTATGCTTGACAAAAATGTTCAGTATCATGTGATTCCCACATAAACGATTTTGAACTGACTTATAAATCCTTCGATTTTAAGTTGGGAACAATGCATAAATAAATAGTATGCATTTTAATGGCAATGGCGTGAACAAATCTGGAGATAACCATATCATTTCAAAAGACCATATTTTATAGGATTACACTAATGCCAGCCACGTCCTTCACTGGAATTGTTCACAGCGCTCTACAAACAAACGTTTTTCAGCAAAGCAATGTTTGCATTAATATTTTGGCCACTTTATCAAAAAACAAAACGTAGATTGTAAAACACAAACAATTTTGTTCAGTGTCTACTCCTAATGAACATTCCTTAGTTATGCAACTATGAAATGTTGGCTGTAAGTGAACATATATCACATGTTTGTATTGTGGATTACATGAGAAAGCACAGCGGGAGCATTGTAGTTACTTCTCTGCGTACGTACTTGAATGTGTGTTTGTATGGTGCATTTAATTTCTTAATGTTTTGATCAATGTTGATGAAACTTGGTAAAGAAGCTTTACAGTCATCTGAACATTTGATAAGGGTTTGGTGCAATTAAATACTCACTTAAAGGGCGGTAATCGTCGCGATGGCGACTTTGACTTTGACAACACAAATGTCGCACATGCGCAGCGCGACGACCAACGCCCTTTAAATAATTTTCTAGGATTGAACACTTCAATTTTCTGGTTGTCTTTTTAGAAGGAACTCCAACAGTGCAGTAGACTGTATGAGCATAATTCAGCCTAACAGATATAGGACCTCGCAGACTAACAAAGTGAAAATTTGATTCATGAACTCGAACAACAGTTCACATATGTAAAGCTTATGGTTATACATTTATCACTGAAGCAGATTTGTTATGAATATTTTTGAAGCATTGTAATGATATTTGTGAATTTGTAAACATGCTACAATTTGTGTGTATTTTATTGCAAAGGAAAACCAATAATTTGCAAGCCTTGGAACTATAATTAGGCAGGTATGTACAGTTTTTTTAATGTTGCAGGGTGTAAGTTAATTGTCAACCTTTATTTATATTGTGTGTAATTTTTGTGTTTAGTTTGCTGCCTATTTCACAAATCCAGAATATTTCTGCCCAGCTGATATGGACAGTTTTCCTATTACTGGTACTCTGTTTACACACAAGAAATGCACCTTTGCATGAACAATGATAAAGTTGTAAATAATTTGAGCTTGCTGGACTATTATAATCATGAGACTAATATTTTATTGTTTTCATCACAGGCTATTCTGGAGTTTTGTATAAGTTCTGGCAGTATATAAAAAGAAAATTGAGATAATAAAATACCAAAAAGAGCCATTCTGGTTCCAACATACTAGTTAATGTCGAGAATACGAAGTTTACAATCTGGCACAAGCTAGTGTTCCGAATATCAAATTAAAATATCTGGTGCAAGTCACTGTCTAGAATACCAAACCACGGTTACTATCTTTTTTAATAACCGTGACCAAACATAGTAACAGTGGTTATCTGTGTGTGTATATATATATGGAGTCAAGATATTTTATATTCATGGGTGTTTGTACATGACAAAACCACTTTTACCAGAAAGTCGTCTGTTGTATAAAAAAAATAATGAATACGTGCATGTATTAGAACTTGAACTCAAGAAATACTAATTGGATGCAAGTCAAACATTGAGCATTGCTATTAGGTACTGACCAGATCCCATTTTAATGCAAAAGCAAATTGCCTGATTATCATAAACATTATATCTAAAATGTTGTTGCAACTCAATAATCTTCCATCAGTTGAATATATGGTCCTTATATATGATATGTTACTTTGCGTCAAGTCCACTTTAACAAAATATTTCAAATCATTATTCATTCATTCATTTTTTTATTGAATCAGATACAGATACATGTACAATGACCCCCCCCCCATATACTAGTAATTGATTTAGGGCGCCCCCGGTGTATGCTGACTAGAGTATTTAATTTAATGAACAATCATGTGAAATGTCGACATCATAGCTTGCGCAAATTCTGATAGTAATGAAGTATAATCTTTGACAAATTGTTTTTTTGTTTCTCAAATTCTTCTCATCTCAAACAAATAATTATCATACTTCTGCTACCTGTTCACTCACTGCCTATAACACAGGGGGAGCTCTTTCGATTTGAAGGAAACAAGACTTACGCTAAACATGCATAATCGCCTCAAAATTTAACAAAAAAATGTATGTTTCCTCCGAATAACACCTCTCTTTACTTGATACTAGGGGTACTTTTCCACTTGATTGACGTGCAAGCATTGCCAAGCGAGTTAGTGAGTGAGTGAATGAGTGAATTTTCTTGTTCAGCACGAATAGATAAAATAATTAAAGAAAGCTCCTATGAACTCCTATGTACTGAGAATTTTGGTGGTATATTTAAAATTAATTCAAAATTTAAAATTAGGTGAGTAATATTGGTCTGCTAATTCAGATGCACAACTGAATACAATATGACCGACAGTAGTAAATTTATAATACGAATTATAATAGAAAACAAATTTGACTGTGCGTCTATAGTTTGCAATCTGATTTATTTCAGAGCCTATGCTACTTAAAAATAATTTTTGAGAGATTTTCAACATTAAATTATAAATTTATGTGAACTAAACTAGAGCATCTATGTACCACATTGAATGAAGATTAAGCATAACATGCAATTAGTATGCTTGAATTTCAAAACAAAACTAATCAGGTCTTTAGCATTGTTCCCACTTATGTACACTATCTTTTTGAAATTTAATAATTGTTTTTGTTTTTTAAATTTGGTAATTAATAAGAAAATCAGGTAATTAATCTGCACGGATGTATGTGCATTGCTCCTTGTAACAAACATAATTGAAATGTGACAATTAATTCTTAAAATAGATCGGTGCCAATCAATATGCAGTTTAGGTAATTATTATAGAAATATTTGAACTCAAAACTAAGTAAGTCGTCGCATTTATTTACCAAGATTTATTGAAATAAATGATTATTACTTGTGATATTGATGAAACAGCTGAAAGTTATTGTGCAAATTTGGTAATTAATATGTGCAGATTTTAACGTAAAATTGGTCAGGTCCGTGCAACCAAGTTTCATTCAATGTGATGATTAGTACTTGAGATATCGGTAGAATAGCCTAAAATTGATTAACTATTATGCGTACAAAGTTTCGTTGAAATCTGGTTGGCAGTTCGTAAGATATCCGTGGAACAGACATACATACACATATGAATACAGGGTAACTGTAGAAACATATTAATTACAAATGTGCTGTCAATACTTCATATAATTAAATTGATATGTTTTGTAAATTTAAATTTCAAGTACCTCGAGCAGTTGTCTCCGGGGGTGAGTAATCTAATCTAGTATTTTCAGTTATCGCAACAGATGGTAGGCTCCCAAGATCGCCTGCATTTTTTCATTTGCCTCTCCTGCTATCGGTCAAGATGCAGTGCCACCCAGACACTGACGCCTACCTAAGAGTATCATGCTGTGGCTACAGGCGTGGAAGCCGCGGGATATGGAACACTTTACTCATTCGGCAAACTAGGCTTACACTAGTACTGACAAACTGTGAATCCAAAGAATTGAAGTAATTACTCATGTCATTGATAAAACAACGGATTTAAGGATGTAGTAGAAGTTGTTGGGTGTAAAACATTAAATTTAAATTTTTCACATGATATATGAATGCCTAATGTAATCATAGTGGGATTGCTTATATTGTTTTGTCCAAATTCACCCCGTAGACTTTAAAACAAACTTTTCAGGCGAGCGGAAATTGTCACGTACGACAGCAAAGATAACTCTAATTCACATACGTACCAAAAAAGGGAAAAAAAGTGAGCTCATTAATTTATTGCACGAATTAAAGATGAAGAGAAAAAAGGACCTGCGAGAAAACAAAAAAACGTAATACGGATGAGTCAAGATACCACCGGGTACCTACCATAACAGCAAAGGTCACATTACGAAGCCAAGTCAGGCAGCGTAAATGTGACTGCGAGAACGTGATTGGGAATACTAGCATTAACAGATACTATTTCTAGACAGATAGTCCTAAGAAACATATTTGCAAATTTCCGTGACACAAATTGTACAACACCTCATCGTATTTCCTACTCAAGTTGGCTGTTACCAATTTAACAAAATGCATTTTGGTAGTGTAAACTATGATGTTATGGCATGAAGAAGAAATATATACACATAGAGACATTCCATGACTTAATTATCAATAGTCCCCAAAAAGCCTCGTAATTGGACCAGCTGAATGCTTCATTGTATATCACATATCCATAGAGCACAAAGATGGTGGCATTAAGATAAATGAGTAAGAGTGAGAAGATATTGGATTGATACACATTGTTGAATCACTGTATACAAATACAGTACATGAAATTGTTCAGGACTATGCTGACCGATTTGAAGGCCCTGGGTTAATGCGAGATGCTAAAGCAGCATCACACATTGATGAGT